AGAGAGATAACATCCAAAAAACCCAAACCCTCCCCACGCCAGGGACTGTAGTGTCGTCATCGATAGAGAGAGAATGTACTGATTTATGGACAAAATAGGAATTGCGCGTCGTCGCTCGCAGCGTTGGAATCTGCTTCACCCGACAACGCTGCGAAAAACTCTCAGCAGTCCACGATGTCAGCAGCGACGATCTGTGCATCTCCATTGTCGCCATTACAAATTTTGAATGGGTCGTCGGAGAGGGAAACGAGAGACAAGACTGGGAAATGTTTGGTATTATACTGGGTGAAATGATTAGGGTTTGAAGAATTGGGTGGAGATATTTTATATTCACACCTAATTTGTGAATAATAAAATGAATAATTCTATTCAAACTGGGAAAAAAAAGGATTTCAATAACACCCTGAGTTGGCAGCCATTGATTGCATGTTTTTTCTTTATTCTTTTTAAACTGTCCAACTAGTGTTTGACACATGCATCTGTTTTTTTATAATCATGTCAAAATTCCCTATTTGTGTAGCGTAACTCTAATAAAACTTGGTCCCTGATTTTTGAATTGTAGTCTTTAAAGGCCTGGTATTATGTAATTTCCACTTGCCAAAAACAAGAAAAATTCTCCAAGCACCATGGATAAGGAGTCACTAACCTTGCTACATTGCTAAAGAGCTCGTGCTGGTCGACATTAATTAATTAAAGCAATATTTAGTATTTACACAAGAATAATCGATAGGGTCACAGGTTTAACGCAAATTTCACTTCCATATATTCTTCCTTAATGTGAAAACGTAAATAAACTGTAGAAGAGATACTATGCCGTTAGATTATACTTCTATGCCATGGCTTCACGGGCATCAGATGGTGATTTCAGCTTCTGCCAGTGGGGCGCATTGAGAAGCACGAGATATATAGTATTACAACATCAAAATTATGCAAATAACCGGATGCTGCAAGAAGATGTTATCTTTCTTTATCGTCTTCTAGCTCACCGATCAAAATCCATGTATTCGCCGATCACCCTGTTGAGACAGAATAGAAGCAGCACCGAATCATCAATCGGTAAATGAAATTGAAATCTTAATTTTTCCATTTGAAATTCAAATCATTTAGAACTTGTAAAGAAAGTTTAAAATAAAGAAAAATTACCAAAGACGGATGATTGAAAACGTGGTGTAATACTCTATCTATATATATGTTTATGCAGCGGTTTCTGAATGTTTCTAGGTAAGAATACGAGATCACTGTTGTATTTGTTAATAATATTTGGACAAAGTCCATTTGGGATGTCTTTGAGAATAGGATAGAAAACAAGTTATGTCATGAAAACTTATTGTCCAGAAAAGTAATTTTTAAGCATAGCCACATGAAGAACTAGTCTGTCAAGAATTAGAAATACCTTTAAAGAATTGCATTAGAATATTAATGACATAAAAGAAGCCTCATACCTGTTATAGGACAAGTAACCATCACCAATAGTTCCTATGACTTTATTTCGTACCTTCCGTACACACACCTTAATAAAGATGAGAAGTTAAAAAACTTGGTGTCCTTGGAGAACTAATAAGAAGGAAATATTTGGTGACAAATATCCTCAGGCCGTTAATAAGACATACAATATTCTGGTGTAAAAGCACACTGAACTAGATGTAACGGGCCAGCCTCTGGATCCCTGTTACGGTGAATAACAATTCCATTATCGCATTTGTTAATGAAGTGTGCACTCCCACTGATGTCGTACAAATTTGGGGGGGCTTCCAACCCAATGGTGCAACTGTTTAAAAAAACATGTTTCGAGGTTATTAAATTACAAAATCCTTGGAGTAAATCCATGGTTCTACAATTACNGAAAGCACGACACGTAGTTTACACGTGCACGCATAAATAGTGTGACACCCTAGCCAGATAGGGAACAATTTCATAACTTTTTCCAATCTGAACAATCTTCCACAAAACAATCATTAATACTGAATATGCAACTTAATAATGTTTAACTGCATCACAATATTAACAAGTCCACTTCAATGGAACTTCATTGCAACTCCATTCTGGGCAAAATTTCATCAACTCATCTATTCCTTTTTTATTTCTAAGGCGCCTTTATATGCAACTTCTCCAGAAACTTTATTGCCTTAGCAACAATTATTTTGTTAAATTAAATCCATCCAGAGCAGCAACTCTTATATAAATTATTGACATGGGTTTATACTCCCAAGCATATAGATAGAACTAATCAGTGGCACAAGGATTTGTTTCACATTGACATGCCGTGTAAGACAGTGCAACCCATAAATGTCCAGAAAACAAAGGAAAAATTGATTAGATTTTCGCCTACAAAATGCCAGCAGTTTCTCACAGCAACTTCATCTCATTCCAGTGAAGAACTGTATCAACATCACGTAACGAAAACACACAGCACAATTAAATATTTGGAGTAACCTTATTAGGGAAAATGTATCACTGAGCCATTGCTTTCCTTGCTCCAACTCCTCAACATTCATGTGCTCAACAGATTCTCCATACCTGTTTGTAGCAATGAATCAAACAGGTCAGTAAGTAAATAATTAACGGACTAGTCTGCAAAGCTGAAACAACATATACCCTATGAAATTTTATTAAACCGTCTGTGTCTATATTCAGTAATGATCTCCATCTCTCTAGATACCTCAAAGCCCAAGAGCTTTAGCACTTCGCAACAGATAATAGTTCAACCTTTTCCCAGTATCAATTCAATGAATAGAACTTGATTTTTATTTACATTGGTGAGACTTCTCCAAAGTAAAATGAGATATTATTTCAACCCCATCAATTGTCAAATATCTTTGGAAAATAATAAGACACAGCAAAATAAAAAGATGGAGTACGTGGAGACACATTATCGAAAATTCTTGCTGGTAATGGGTTTATAACAAATATAGATTTGGCTTTCATTATGTTTCAAAGACTGAAGCATCCCTTGATTTGCACTTCAGGAATTTTGTGAAAAACTGAAGGCCATTAATCTCTAGGAAAGACCCAGGACTTCTAGATGAACAGGAAAAATAAAGAGGGGCCTAAAAAGTTCAAGTAGGATTAACTTTTGGTACAGATAACACTCTCTTACATGAAGTCAATTTGCCTACCACTCACTGTCTTTTGACTCTTTTCCAATAAGAAAAATGTATTCATATTATTTCACAACACTTCCCTATTAGCCATGTGCCTTTAACTTTGAATATCAGCTTCAATCTCAGGGATGCAAAAGATAGACAGCCAGAGTAGGAAATTGACAGATTCCCTAAGATTGGGATCAAAATTGACTTCCTAAGGTTAGAATGAAATTGACAGATTTCTTAATATTAGGATCAGATTTGATGTATATCATTTAGTTATTACATTTTATTTAGAATAGCTTTATTTTAGGGATTTGATTTGCTATCCTCTCATTTTAGGGATTTTCTGAATATAAACCTTTTGCCAAAACTGAGTTTAAAATTTACTATGACTTGCCAACAAATAAAAGAAAAGAAGTGGAAAAGCAGAAATAGTTTACCTTATTCTCCATAGAACAAAGTGCAAATTTCCAACCAACACTTCGATTAAGATTGCATAAAAGAGCATCAATCCACTCACTCTTACCCGAATTGGGGACTCCAGTAACAATAGTCAACTCTCCCGGCACAACCTGGCTCAGAGTAAGATCAAGAACTAAGTGGATGGCATCTATTTGAAAAGGTAATGCATCATATTCATTGTTTGTTACGTCAACAGAAATCACATTTAGTTGACAATTAAATGTTGGATTTAAATATGAACTAGCATCAAAACTAGAGATAGGAAATGAACGAGTATAATGACAAAAATAAAATTGTCATTTGGAAGTATATACAATTATCTGAATGTTGTTACTTATTCCAGAAGAGAATAGTGCAAGAATTTACAATTTTTAGAAAATTGTGCAAGAACTCCTCTAATAAGTAGTGTTTTCTCTTGTACACAAAACTATGTATTTGTCCCCTTCCACATAACCAAAAAGAGGAATAGAAGTTCTATGTTCAGAATCCCTTCATCCCAGATTATATCATGCAATCCATCCAATGCAATATCACGCAGTCATATATATATACATAGTGCTTATTGGCCATCGAATATAAATCCTAGACCGTCCACTGATTGTGAATGTGTTAACATGGGAAGCAGCAATAAGAATCCAGAGGTGAACATAAAATGTTGAGCAAACCATACTTACGTTATACAATTTATTCAAAGCCCTCCATCCAGTTGAAACTCCAAGCTCATAGATGATAATACTGGCCAATCTCTGTAGAGTAATCTTTAAAATTGAACAGCCCATTTATGGGATAAAGCTCAGCATTTTCAATGACATCCTTCAATGCGGCAGGACCAATATACATAAGGACCTACATTTAGAATATATGGCATAGTCAAAGTGACAAGTAGTTGTTTACCATCCTCTTTACTAGACATTATTTACCAGCTAGGAGAATACATGATTGCCCTTTCATAATGAATGGTAATGCATCTAAAAACAACATGTTAAATCCATACATTTGCTCGTAAACATCTAAAATATGTTGATTAGTATGAGAAAACAATTCTAATACTCTCTAATGTGTCTTAACTGATGCAACATTCAATTTTTACACTTAAAATATTCAGCATCATTCTTCTGTGGCCATTTGACTCGCCAACACCTATTAACCAACAAAACTTAGATTTTGTTGAATCATTTCTGATATTATACTTGTAATAATTGCAAGATAAACCTTTCTCTCCCTAAGCAGCGGGCGAGTTCTTCAGCCAAGGCTTGACTGGGTGGGTCCCCATCAGTAGCAAGTACTTTGCAGTTCCATAAATATTGATACTTTGTGTCCTAGCTTCAAAGAATGAGTAAAAGGGCATTAAAAGCAACACTTCAGTGCAAGGTTCATTATAAAATCTATGATGTCAAAGACAGTGAGGAGGGAGCTGTCTTGTTTGCTGCCCTAGCTCCAGTGTACATACTGTCGAAAGTCCTAGTAACAATGGAGGACAAGCAGATAATGTTTGAAAGGCGTAACAAAGAAGTGTGGAAATGATGAAAAAATAACAATAATGATGAAAAATATAGATCAGAGAATTAGGCATATAGAAAGGGCAAGAGGGTGAATTGATGCATTTCTCCGAAGATGGAAGTCAAAAGGTTCAAGCAGGATTGAATGTAACTCAATCAAGATTGAAAATGCAAAGCAAAACAATATTGGGGTTAGCCATAGATAGCTCAGGAAATAATAGAAGACATCATAAGTGGTTTGTTAAAGAGTTGCAGCCAGAAAGATACCTCTTCAGCGGAAGGGAGCTCTCTGTTTGAGTGAAAACCTCCACGTGGTAGGTCGTCGCTCACACAATTTTTAAAACCAGCTTCTTCCATTGCAAGCTTATTCATTTCACCTTCAACCTTAATTTAAAAATATGAGCATAAATAGCTTGACAATTTAAATTGAATTGACCATTGACAGCAGAACAATGAAGAAATTTAACTTACAATCATAATATCACTAGCTCCCTTTATATTATCCAGTCCATAAAAAATCTTTTCAGTATTGGTTTCCTGCACACATTATCAGCATCATCAGCGACATAGTATCAGACTAGAGATGGTAAAACATCAGAAGTATTTCTATGTTATACTTAAAAAGGCACATCAGAAAACTAGAACAGTCTAATTTACAGCCAGCACCATAGTATGAATGGTTGGTGAAGTAGGAAAACTATATAATCACAAAGAATGATAAAATCAAGGAAAAGGTTCTGAGATTTGAAGCTGAAAATACTGGAATGAAAATTAACAGAGGAAAAACGAAATTACAGGAACTANCAGAAAGATACCTCTTCAGCGGAAGGGAGCTCTCTGTTAGAGACTTTTGGAGGTGCACCATCCAGCATGCTCACACAATTTTTAAAACCAGCTTCTTCCATTGCAAGCTTATTCATTTCACCTTCAACCTTAATTTAAAAATATTAGAATAAATAGCTTGACAATTTAAATTTAATTGACCATTGACAGCAGAACAATGAAGAAATTTAACTTACAATCATAATATCACTAGCTCCCTTTATATTATCCAGTCCATAAAAAATCTTTTCAGTATTGGTTTCCTGCACACATTATCAGCATCACCAGCGACATAGTATCAGACTAGTGATGGTAAAACATCAGAAGTACTTCTATGTTATACTTAAAAAGGCACATCAGAAAACTAGAACAGTCTAATTGACAGCCAGCACCATAGTATGAATGGTTGGTGCAGTAGGAAAACTATATAATCACAAAGAACACCTTACAAATAGTGTTTTTCTTGTAAATTTGAATCTTTTTAGGCAAAGAGAACAACTAACAATTCGCGTAGACATACCTGTCAAAATTTCCTAGTAATATCCCTATACTTGATGCTAACAAATTCTCCATTTCTTCGATAGGTGAAAGCAATAGCAATCTGTATTGAAATCTTCATCAGACATTCTTCCAGAGAGATTAGTAATTAAATCAAATTCAAGTTACTAAATTACAATAGCTTCAAAGAGTCAAAACAATGTTTCTGACACCCCTCTCCGTCTCTCTAAAGTCTGTTCCCCGCCCCCCCTCTTCTTTCAGGAGAAGGGCAAAGGGCCCAGGTTTCAAGCTCGATGAGGATACGGTGGAAATGTAATTACGGCCATGGCTAGAAAGAATTCTTTAGCATGACAAGACAACCTCGTGATTGCACACAAATATACATGAACATTTCTGAAAATAAAACGACATCTGCACCTGGTTGCCTCTTCTTTTTTGCATTACAGAATTTCTCTGCAGTGTTTCCCCAGATATCATTCGCTCAGCAAAATATGCAAGTAGCTGAAACAACAGTCAGAGGGCATCAACAATGTTGAATATCTCCGTCAGATATAGAAAAACCACAAAGAGAACCGGTATAGAATCATAGAAAGGGAACA